TGATTTAATTCGCATCCCGTTATGAAGTGGAAGAGTTGCATCAGTGGGGGTGAGATGAGAGCTAGTGTAGCAAACTAGCAATACACATTCAAGGCCTTAACGGTATATATTCTCTGTTCAGAGCCAGAAAAATTATTAACTTGTATACTTTTACAAATGCTTTTCAGACTATCTAAGAAATGATAGGTGGATTTTGAGGGATCAGTCTCCAAAATTATGTTGCTCTATTTTGTAGGGGGGGGGGGGTCCTTGAGAGTAGGCTATACTTCATTTAAAATGTTGGCTTCAGACAATTCCTTTTTTGAATATTTATATTTATATATATTCAGTTCAAGTACCAAGGTTAGAAGGTAAAACAATGGATAGATAAGATATTGACATACTTGTTTGCATGCATGCATAGGGGAGTTGGAACTTCATTTTAACATTGTTCTTTAGCTCAGGATTGTTTATTGCTTGTAACATTATAGGCTTATGAATTATTTTCTTTACTGTTACTTTTTTATTGTTATTATTTCACAGACTAGAAATTGACAGCAATTTGAAATTAACAAACTGGCTAGCTTCTTCTGATCAAGGGGATTTTCAAGCATATCTTGAGGCCCCTATTTCTGTCTAGCAATTAATATCGGTTGTGTTTTGTATGTGCCCTCGGTGAGCACGAAACGCTGGATAAAATCAGTGTAAAGTTACAGTCAATATGCATAGAGCTTATTACATCATGCCCTTGCGTACCTAAACGTGATGAAGTTGGAAGAGAGGGATAGAATTCCCCATGATGTGATCAATAGTGCAAGATATTATACACCCAGCTGTAACCCAAGGATGCACAAATATGTCCCTCTGTATATTCATGCATCATGAAAGCAGTGTGATTATGTTCGTTCAACGAACAACAAACAGTACTGCTTTGGTGTTTCCAACCTTTTTCTCAGGTCATGACGGTATCTAAGAATAAACTTGGAAACTTTTCTATATTTCTGTAATTATATTTGTTTGATTTATTAGATACACTTTTGTGTGTCTTTCTCTTTCCTACACTCTCTTTCTTTCTCAAATCTTTGTATTTCATCCTTTTTACTGCAGTGGTCCTCCCTAACGACCGCTTTATTCTTTTCTCTATTTTGATATTTGCTCCTTTTACCTGCCTACAATTGCCATTTTCTCTCTCTCTTTCTCCTTCTTTATTTCATGTTTTGATTGTTTTTGCTATCTATATTTATCTTTTAAGACCATTTTAATAATCCTGTTTTGAAATAACTAGAAGCAAGTTAAGCAACATAAGTTAATTTCCTTTTACCCCACTGACCAGTTATTATATTGCTCGAAATTTCCTCTTTTTTTACTACCTTTCTTGTCAAGCACTATATGATAGATCATGTTTAATTCAAATAATTTAATTTTACAATTTTCTTTGAACAATCCCTTTAAAGTCCCCCCACCCCTTGCGCTGTGGCCAATGTCCTCATTAACCTCTTCTCAATATCAACTATCTCTTATAGAGCCAATCTAAGAACTCTGGCATTATTTAGAATTTAGAATATAACGTCTGCTGCTTGCATCAGTGAAACCAAGGCCCCTAAAATAGTTTATATCCCTCGTCTTTCCGTCGTCCAAGGGTGGATGCCTCTTAGAGCGCTCGCTTAATTTCATCTTGTCATCATTTAGGATCGGTTCTGCTTTCGGAATTGCTTTAGTAAACCAGTACTGCTTGAAGTGGAATTTGTAAATGAAACAGAGTAGAAGTGGATTTCCCCGCTATTTCACCTCGTCTTATTACGTCAAGAAGTCTAGAATGGATCAAGCTTGTCCTACCCCTGTCTCTGATATACAATTGCGAAGCAATATATATGTGTAACTGTATTGAACGCTAGTAAGAGCCAGACGGCATTAACTCCTTTCTTCTACCTTAATGATAATGCCCTTTTAGCTCTCATAAGATGATACATATAGACTTTGGCCTTTGTTTGTCCCCCCACATTTTGATGTTTTTTGTTACATATCAGTTGTAATTTTGTACTATACCTTGTATTCTTGTTGAATTTCTTTATACCTTTAGTACTGTACATTGTTATTTTGTACAGGTTTGTGTATGCTCTTATTGACATTTTTATCAAATTGTGGAAAGAACAAATTGATTGAAATTGAAATATGGTTTGTACTTCCATCAAGGTACTAGCTGAATCATATTTTGTTTTCATAAAAACTTGTTTTTTCCAAAATTATGTTATTCTTATTCCTAATTGTACTTCATTATAAAAACGAAAATGTTATTGCTCAATGTTTGCAAATATTTACATGTGATAACATTTTAAGAGCATTTATATAACTTGTTAGAGCATAATCATGAAAACAACGTTCAAGGATTCAAGCAATAATTAATGATAAATCGTTGTGGTTGAAATAGCTTATTAAGAAAGTACATTCTCATCCCAATATTACCATCACTAGGAGATTACAGTCACTAATTAGACCTGCAGAGACCTAATTGGCATTTATAGATAAATATAAATGATGCTGTGACGTAATTACCTCTGTTTCTCTTTTTAGAAAACAGTTACAGTGTGAGTAAGTGCTGTTATATATAGTTGGTCACGTTTTAACTAGAATGTTGAGTACTTGTGTTTTTTTCTCTCTTTTGTTAATAAAAAGGCACATATGAATAGAAACTATAACCCTTACGGCACATGCAGACACTCATGAAAAGAGAATTTTCTTTATTTGATGATAAATTGACCATAAATGGTATTTCAAGATGCAGGCCTGAAATACACATCCTGTTTCTTATCATCCATGTGTATCACCATCATCTTGCCCTTCCTCCCTCTAGCTCCCACACCGCCTGCCTTCAGCTGATTCTGGTTTCGATTGTAAACTCCTCTGGCTCTATCTTCTTCTTTAAGTCTGGGTATTTATGTCCTCTTAGGGTTATTTATGGAACTGAAGCAACCCTACAAGAAGCTCAAGTGTTCTTCAAACTATGCAATAGTCACAGACAGAGAAGGATTATCAAACTATGCAATAGTCACAGAAAGAGATTATCAGTCCATTTGCTCAAATCCTCCACTTTTGGAAAATCCTTTTGAGTGGAAGACTTTTTAGTAACTTCTACCACTACATTGTCATTATAATACTTAGTCTCTCTGAGCCTGAAAGGAATCATTTGCATGAGATTTACATCTTTATAACCCTGACACCACAACAACCACATTGATGATTTTCTTGTCAATGTTCTTATCACCCTTTCATTCTTTAAAAGGGAAGTCAACCCTGATATTTTAATAGAAGCAGAAAAATGAGAGGAACAGGTCAGTGAAAGGTTGAGTAAATGGGAGGGGAGCTCGCAAGATATGTCACAGAGTTAGCCAATTTCTGTTTGATTTTGATCACAAGTACAAAACTTTATTACTCTTATTTTCAATCAGAATTTGCTTAAACTTCCACTGACCTGTTACTACATGTATTAAAACCAATTAAATATCAGGGTGGACTTCCCCTTCAAAAATGTTCAGTAAACCTGGTTGTACATCCAAGCAATAGGATTGATATTCAATTCAACTGACATGGAGAGTTAGTGGGGCTCATTAAGAATGCTCTTTTGTTTCGGAATTAGCTTGCTAGAGCAAGATTAGAATATCACAATGACGGTATTTAGCATTCATGCTTACAACTTTCTTCTGTTAAGAGCCAGAAGGGCGTTAACTCTGTGTTAAGATATATGAATGAGTTGACATCGTTCTGGCTCTCAACATATTGCAGATGTGTGTGAGTATGTAACCCATAGCTGAGGAGGAGAAATAGAAGATGAGAAGGAATCAGAGAGATTAAAATTGTCACAGCACGTGAGGTCACAACATGTACATAGTTGTAAACGTCTGGCGGTTGACTACCTCTAGCTCTTGACTGGGCGTCTGACTGACGACTGTCGCATGTGCACGTAGTTCAAGTGCCAACAGGGAGTCCCGAACTAAGAAACTTGGTAGTCTACAAATCCAAACCCCTTGATCACTTTGTCCACTGTAAACAAAACAGAGACTTGGATAAAAGTCAAACAATATCATTAATCCTGAATACTTTGGTGCTAGGTATAGCCAGAGTCAAAATGACAATCCGGTAGGATCTTGGCTGGAACTGTGTCATTATACTATTTCAAAAGTGATAAAAAGGTCACTGTCAGAACAGTTGTGTTTACATTTATGGAATAACGTGGGCAGAGGCAAACAAACGGTGCTGGCAAATTGCCCAAATCTGCTTACCGTTGGTTGTGTATAATGATTCTAAATCATGAATATAAAGAACTTCATATCCAAAGGTGTGGAAGGGGGGTGGGGGTAGTCATACATTGTATTTTACCTGATAATTTATTCCTCCTAATCCTAGCTTTATAGCAGATCCATCATAATCATCACGCAAAACCTACTCTCTTTTATTGAGATGAATCGAAGTAGAAGAAATATGATGCATCGTTACTTTTGGTAGTCTGAATCGCAGACCCATTTTTTATTGATTAAAAATATAAAGCGGTAATTTTATTAAAAAGGCCCGTGGGAATAATCTTCCTTGAATAAAACAAGGGTCTTCCGGAAATTAATATTTATTACATGCATTTTATATCAATTTCAACATTTGTGTGTGTGTGCTCTTGGACGAATGAATATTTATTATGAATTACATTTATATATAGGAAGTACAAAGTCATCATCAAACTGAAAGTAAATGTCACCATTTATTTATTAACATGACAAAGATATTGCTTAAGTAAGTTAGATGACTTCTACATTAATTTCATGGGTATTTCCCTGTTAGGATGTAGTGGTATACCGGTATGAAATGCAATGACAATGATTTGGCATTTTCAAAAGTTAGCCACAAGCTTAAAAAATCGAAATTATAGCTTTTAGAAAACACCATGAAGTTTATAAATGACATCAGTAGTTACACAATGCTTCCAAAAACCAAGTACATTTGCTTCACATGAAGCCATAACTTTGAATCATCAGAGACTGGTTATGAGACTAGTCAAATCCAGTGAGTATTGTTTATAAGCTTGCAGCGCTGCTCATCGGTAGTCATATGTTCTGTGTACAAACGAGGGAACGCACGAGAGACCTGCAGCGTCGACGACCTAGCTCAATACTTTCATCGGTGAGGCATATCTCCTCGTGAATTTAGATTGCTCTTCTCTCTCATTAGTCGAGAAGTGAGGTTCTTAAATGGAGCGAGGGATCCCAGCGCTCTTCTCTTGATAAAAGCTTAGGAATGTCATCTGGATTTTCATTCTTCACAAATTGGCCACAAAGCGAGCTCTTATTTTGATGACTGAATTAACTTTTCGCTTTTTACTTGCAAGTGGAAAACGGCCGTGTCTTGATTATAGCTGAGTACAGAGGAGGATAAGCTACTTATCTTTCCATTTCTACACGAAATTTCACATAGAGAATAAATTGGAACTTTATCTTGCGTTTCTATTTTGTCTCATAAGTGACGCGTCTAGTAACTAGTGCGGATTTGACTGAATACATCTTTTCATTGATATAAAGTGAACAAAAGATATGAGCAATATCATTTTCATCTCATAGAAGCAATACTCTAATGTCGATGAATGTTCTCTGACTTTTAAAGCAATATATTGTTGAAACTGTTGCAATAAGAGCTGAATAATGCTCAATTAGAAGCTCTTGGTTGATATTCCTGGTGACATTTGAAGAAACAAAGTTGGATCAGATTAGTGCAATACAAAATACAGTCATGCGTGGACAAATATTGTGAGTATTTCAAGTTGTTTTTATAATTTCTATTAAACTGAAATGCAGGTTTCCCCATTTGGCAATATGTAAATGCTTGTTTTCAAAGCTAATTTTTCAATGTGAGTGAGAAGGGTGTTCACTATGTACTATACATACAGTATATGAGATCACCAAGAATGAATGCGTACGTGTATTCCAATATCTTGTTCTATTTCAGTACATGTTAATGAACTCCAACTTCCATTTTTAAAGCATCCCCCTCACTAATTAAGTTTATTCTGCTGTTTTAATTAGCTGTTAGCTTGATGACCTGTTTTGTAATTATCCCCATTTCATGAGCACCTCCTGATCAGCAGTCAAATTTTTCTCGAGTGTCAGTAGGCCTGTTTTCATCAGCTCTAGTTTGCCAAATAACCTGTTATAACGGGATATTATCCTGAAGCTTGAAACTGCATCTTCACCAGACCAATACGCTCATCACAAACTAGCCTTGACAGGCGAAAATTAGCCTGCTATTTCTAAAAATATTTTCTTGACCAATTATCCCACAATTTAACTGGTTAATATGCGATCGATAGTTAAAAATAATAGTGGGTTATTTGGCAAACTCGAGCTGATGAGGACAGGCCTATGGTGTCTTGTAAATTAATGATTTATTGTTCATTAGAAGATCTAAAATACCCACATAACAATATTTTAGACATTGGAAATGATTGATGATAAAAAATAAAGGGGAAATTTGTAACTGTGAGTTATCTTTATCTTAATATGAGTGCATCAGCTATTCCACTCATAAGCTGCTTTTATCCAAGTGTAATTTTGTTATTTATTACACTTCATCTTCATCTTTAGGCTAGCTGCTTGATAAAGATCCTCTGCTGTCATGCCTAGAGACATCATTAATTAAGGCTTTTGACCAAAGTGTCAAGTTTCTGAGAAACTGCGTGATGTTTATGGTTTAAGTGCGATCAATGACGTCAGTCCAATTATCTGGAATACAGTGTTGTATGGGATTAAATGGATCAACACATTTAATTGAGAGAGAGAAATTGCTTAATCCACTGGATTGAAATTTGTAAACACAATGTTTTTGAAAGATTAACATAATTAATAATTGACCATACATCCAATGATCCTATCTTACGTTTGAATTTTGTTTGTATTATTATGCACATTTTAACCACTAATGCAGGAATTAAAAAAAGATTGGAATATTCAGATGAATAGATTTAAATATATTTATTATTAAAAAAAGTTTCTGAAAAACTGTGTGATGTTTATGGTTTAAGTGAGATCAATGACGTCAGTCCAATATATCACTATAAATCATTCAAAACAATTACAATATTCATTACATCATGAATATAAGCTATTGATTATAGTTGTTTAACTGGAACTTGCATAGCATAAATGATTGGGATGAACGTTCATGTGATATTTTACTATTTCACTAGTTCCAATATTGCATGAAACGTAGGAGGAAAAACTGCAAAGACTTTGGGGATTCAGAGTGCCCTAATTAGGATACAGTGTTAATGATGTCCTGTTGTAAGCTTGCCATTAACCCTTTGAATACTAACCCGAGTAATTTAAGGCCAGAGTCTATGTCGTATGTAATTAGTACCAAGATCGTTGTAATCAGTGTGTTTAAGTATGGAACAAGACAAACGTCATGTGGTGTTATGTTACTACCATTAACATATTCTTATGTTACTACCATTAACATATTATGTTACAGTCGATGCTCTCTAAGGGCCCTTATACAGGACAACAGTTTTTTATTTTATTATTATTATTATTATTGGGGGGGGGGGGGGTATATATTGGGCAATTGTGATAAATAGCCAGTTCAGGTATCGACAGATAAGTGCCGACAGCTGGTAGTCCTTGAAAGGAGATTCCCAAATAGCTAATCCAATTGGTTCGCTGCAGCTCAGATTATCTTATGTCTTACTGATCTATTTTTTTTTCTATTAAAAATGTAACTTAAACTTTTGTAACACATGTAACATAAGAAATATGTGGAGTGCACAAGGTTATAGTGTGGAAATATACACATACGGTCTAACCATATAGCCGGAAACTATTACAAATTTGGAATTTTATTTAAAAAATAAATGGAAATGCTGTGACATTATTATAGTATAATGACATTTTTAATTCCTGAAAGTTTTAGCTGTTTGACCATCGTGAGGAGTTTCTGAAAATGTTTGTTTATTACAGAAATCAACCCTCACGCAATAGCTAAGAAAACATAATCCTGAGATTAAATGAAACCAGTCAACTCCAGAATGACGTAGTACAATCATGTAGTTAATACTTTGCTAATATCACAATTATCATTCTTTATTAGGAGACAGTATTCCCTTTTTATGACTGTTACAAGTAAGAAGAAAGGGAATGAACAGAAATATTTTTTTTTTTTTTTTTTTTGAGAAGTAATAATCTGATATTAGGAAAGAGAAAGATAAAGATATACAGAATTGAATATCTTCTGCAATGTATACTATTAGTTTAACATTTTGTCTGTCCAGAGCCAAAAGTGTGTTAATTCACCACCAATTTATATCAGCTAACGCCCTTAATTGGCTCCAAATCAATGATTTTTTGTCAATATAACAACTTACAGGTACGTACTTACATGTACTTACGTCTTTGTATAGAATTGACACAGCTCTTTAGTTTCATATTGATCGTTATCAAATCATTTTACAAAAGACTAATTAGCAAAGAACAAGCTTAATTTCCGGTCTCTACTACAAGTGTTTGTTTCATATGATGACATTCACATTATGATATGGTTGTCATGACGATAAATAACCATTCATGATGTGATTCCACGTGTCATACATTTCCACTCCAATGCACTTGTGAGGTCATAACCATAAAGGTCTTAACAAGCATGAAAGGTTGCAAGAAAGGTTGCAAGAAGCAAACAACTTAGAAAATATATTTTCTTATCTCAGTGTGCAATATCAATAGAGAAGCATTTCTCATATAGTCCCACCCACAAGTACCACAATGTCATGACGTACAAGATCCACCTCAATCAAACTCTCAGACCGATAAACCATAACAGGTTTCCTTTCGGTTCTCTAGTTACTTTTATTGAGGTGGGTCTAAGGTGAAGCAAACTGGATGAATGCATATGTTTTGTGTGTCTCGATGTCAAGGGTGTGTGAAGTTTAAAAGCATTCTTTATGTATGAGTGATTCTGCATTTATTCATTCATTCATTCTTGCTCGATTGATTCTAAAAGGTTTGACGTCAAGCCTCTGTAATGTGGTCCAGGTATAGAGTAGCTCTAGGCAGATTGTGATCAAAAATTGTATGTGAATCAAAACAACCTGCATATAACAACTCATCATCTTTGATATCACTCCTTTTACCCCCAAAATTGAATTCCATTCTGATATTTTGTTATTGATGTATTATGCTATGACAACAAGAAAGGTTGGTAGACCTTTAGATAAAAAGACATCACCCTTGATTTTTTCATTCATTGAGTTAAGGTTAGGACATGTATTGCTGAATCATTTTCCAAACAAGTTCAATTGGAAAAATGTTGCATTAGACAACAGTAATCCTGTATAGCTTCCATGCTCTCTATCTATATTGTTTCTCTTTTTCTAGTTCTCTCTCTCTCTCTCTCTCTGTCTGTCTTTCTCTCTCTCTCTCTCTCTCTCTTTCTCTCTCTCTTTCTCTCTCTTTCTCTCTCTCTCTCTCTTTCTCTCTCTTTCTCTCTTCTTTTGTCTCCAGTTCTCTCTCCCCCTCTCTCCTCCCCCTCACTCCACCTCCTTCTGTCTCCCTCTCCTCTCTCATCTCTCCCTCTCAATCTTTCTCCTCTCCTCTCTTCTCCTCTCTTCTCTTCTCCTCTCTCTCCTTAGTAGAAGTATGAACCTGTCTGTCCATTCTTGTATTGTAATTTATCTTACCATACTGGTATATCTATTTTGAATATACTTGGCTTGTCTGATGTTCTACATTTGTCATGCAATGCCAGTGAAGGTCATATTCCACATTTTTTACCCTCTACACACAATGAATCTAAATCCCTATCTCATTCATTTAGAGCAATAAAGATATTAACTTATATACCTAAACACAGAGTTAACATCCTTCTGCCTCTGAGCAGATGATATTTCATGCTGATAACCTCAGCTTCATGATAGCATGTATATTACTTTTAGCTGTGCATTACTAATAATAACTCTGTTATTTATCTTCTATAATCTCAGATTGAAGCCGCCTGAAATAGCGCTGAACGGCGTGCGACAGACCGCCATGGACAGCGACTGGAATGAGATCAAACACAGATACCATCTGAAGGAGACCATCGGGTCAGGTAAGTGTTACTCCAAGCAGAAATTAGAAAAGGGGGTGGGGGGGGGGGGGGGAGGATGCTCTTAAGCAGAACTGGAAAGCAGAACTTTACGTCTTTAAATCTTAATAGAACTCCAGCTTGTAAAGAGTGATATACGTACAATGTTAATTCAATGAAAATCCCATCTTAAAGAAATGAAAGTAGTGCTTTCGCTGTTTGATATTCAAAGTGTTCTAGGGCTGCGATGTAAACTGTTAAATGAACAAATGAAAATTAGGGTTTGTGTTATTGTTGTAAACAATTCATGTTTGCTTCTTGTTATATCAATTTGAAATCAATAATGTTTCCCGCCTGTCCCACATGGCAGTGATGCTGTCAGCAAAGTATGTATCTCATCCATTGGATTTCAATAAAAGCAATAAAATGATTGCATTAAATACACAGATATGAAAAGGAACATGTTGAGCTACAAGATCGTGGCTTGGGGTAGTGGCGAGTTGTTTTTCACTGCATCAGTAAACTGATAAATAAAATTTGATGGATGAATTGATTTCATATCTGTGAATATAGGTCAGGTTACGATTGATGTCGCTGTTTTTTGTTTTTTGACCACATCGGCGTATCACCCTTTTGAGGCCTTTTTGTGATGCATCGCATACCTCAACGACGATGTCTCCCTCATGAAATTCAGAATCTAGAGAATTATTAATGAAGCCAAACTCATGATGCGACGAATAACAAACTCGCTCAAACTGTCTATATAGCCTCATATCATCCTCATTATCAGTGATTAGGTATCAGTGATTAGGTATCATTGTGGCCTCATTTTGCTCAATCAGTCTCTCTTTCTAGGTTTGATCCCCCCTCTCTCTCTCTCTCTCTCTCTCTTTCTCTCTCCCTCCCTTCATCTCTCTCCCTTCCTTCATCTCCCTCCCTTCTTTCCTCCTTCTCTATCTCTATCTCTCTCTCTCTCTCTCTCTCTCCCTCCCTTCATCTCCCTCCCTTCTTTCCTCCTTCTCTCTCTCTCTCTCTCTCTCTCTCTCTTTCTCGTTATCTCCTTCCCTCGCTCTCTCTCTGTCTTCATACCCCTTTTGCTTTACACCCCTTTCACTTTACATTTCTTCATAATACATTGTTTGTTTGATTAGATTTCTCTAGTGTGAATGACCAGTCCAGCTCTATTCCCATGCCTTTATTCATGACATGGTTAACAAGTACTCCCTAGATACCTTTAAACAGTTAGTGATCTGAATGTAGTCTTTGGAAATGGAATAATGAAAGAAACGACACCAGAGAGTGGCAAAATGAGCTCTCATTTCAATTTCATGATTTAATAATGAACAATGGGGAATAAGATTAATTCATTATGTGTGTATCCCTCGTGCATTTGCATTACAAAAATACAATATGATACCGTTGGGCCTCAATGTTTCCCTCGCTGGCTTAATTGTATTGTGAAGAAAATAGGTAAAGAAGATAGAGATTAAGAATTTTAATTTCACTCTTTTACCAGCTAATAAACTTGCTGATAGACCTGCATTAGTCTCCTATTAGAATACAATGTTATTCATATTTGTATTTTTAAAAGAAATTAATTTCAGTTGAGTTACAGACCAACTCTAATTAGCTATCTCTTCTCATCTCCTAACACTCTCTCATTGCCTTTCTTGTTTTCCTTTCTTGCTTTCGGTAATTTAGTATAATTTTGTTTTCCAAACCCTCATCAAGATTGTGACGTACAAAAGGCACTGGACAATAGATAGTTAATCACCTTCCAAGTACAACTCAGTTTCACTGTCTACAAGTATTATTCAAATTCAGTTTCTTGGCTACCTCATCTGTCTTCTTTCACTTTTGTTGTAAACAGGTTTAATGATGTCATTTTTGTGTGTATAATAACAAATTAATGAACATATAGTTTCAGATGACCATTAATGGAGATTTATGATATGTTGCAACATCATTGAGTGTTCTTTGACTAGTTACCTAAGAATAGGAAATACATCAATGTCTTTAAAGAATTTATTACCATTACGACCCTGTCCATGGAAGAGCAAACAAACTATGTTACTAGAAACACTTCTTGAATGCCATTCCTAACATATATTGCTTTCCTGAGGTATACCATTATATAGTCTGTTTAGAGGCAGAAGGGTGTTAACTTGTATACTTTAACACAAAGTTAACATCCTTTTGGCCATGAACATTTCTTTACTAGATAACTAGTAACTATCAAATACACGCAAGTGATATAAATACTAAATCTCTAGGGTTAGGATGGTTGGGTTGAGTTTTCTGTTATAGTTCCATCTGGACCACATCATGTAGCATCTCTTTATATAGATGATTATTATTATTATTATTACTTATATCATGCTTTTCCCATAAGGCCCAAAGCGCTTACAGTGAATGAAAAGTACAGTGAACGAGTCTTACAATTACAAACTGCGAAAAAGATGTGTTTTTAAGGCCTTTCTGAAGGTAATAACTGATGGAGATGGAGACTGCCTAATTCAAAGTGGTATATAATTTAATATTTATGAATATTTGTCTTTTTTCTTGTCCATTCATTAGGTGGTTTTGCGAAGGTGAAGCTGGCCACTCATCTTCTAAGTGGGCAGAAGGTAGCCATCAAGATCATGGACAAACATGCCTTAGGGGTAAGATATTAACACTCCCACGTTAAAAACACTAAGATCCTACTCGCGTGAGTGTGAATGCAGCAAGGCTAGTCGATTGACAAGACTTTGATTGGGCGCTCTCCCCCTGTGACAACATCTTCCTCTGAATGATGGATGGGATACTCCTTGAGGAGGAGACGGAGACAGAAGAGAGATAGGAGGAGGAGAACAGGACATAGGAGGAGAGAGACGAGAGAAAGAGAGAGAGAGAGAGAGAGAGAGAGAGAGAGCGGAGACAGACAGAGACAGACACAGACAGAGAGAGACAGACAGAGAGAGAGAGAGAGAGAGAGAGTATGGAGAGTGTTGAAGGAAGAGGAACAGGACATAGGAGGAGAGAGAGAAAGAGAGAGACGAGAGAGAGAGACAGAGAGAGAGGAGACAGACACAGACAGACACAGACAGACACAGACAGAGAGAGACAGACAGAGAGAGAGACAGACAGAGAGACAGACAGAGAGAGACAGAGAGACAGAGACAGATAGAGAGAGAGTATGGAGAGTGTTGAAGGAAGAGAAACCGAGGCAGAGTAAGAGTGGGGTACTAGATGAAGAGGTGTTTTTAATTAGACGCTTCTTGAGTGTATAGATCTTACAGAAGAGCCTGTGCTCTTCCTGTAGAGTGGACTTCTTTATCTATTTTTAAAACTAGATGTTGAAGGGTTCGGTCTAAGCATGGGCAGAACGGTTCTCCTCCCACGCTCCTTTACCCTTTGATGGAGAGACGTTTTTATTTAGTTTACAGCTTCGTCATTAATGATTCAAAGTGTCTGGTCTAGCGTGGATGACTTGTTAGACTGTCGATTAAATGATACAGGTTCAATTCCCAGTTGTGACCCTATTGACCTTTGGCAAGAAATTAATCTAAAAGTGCCGCTCCATACCCAGGAGAGAATGGGACCTGTTACAATGCCTAAGAGCTTTATGCTCTCTCTGCCGTGGTGATGTCCATATTGTCATTTGAGAGGCAGGAGAAGGTTCATACTGCCTTTACATCTAGAGGTAATTCCCTTATGGCACTTAATAGATGATGGTAAGGTAAGAGTCTCCTCTGGGAGTGGAGATGGTGCACATATTGTATGAATGAATGCATGAATCAAACCACAGGGGTAATCATAACTGTAAAACATTTTTGAGATGTTTAGATTTTAACTACTTGATATAGACTACTATTTCCTTTCTGGAGTAGAACTACCAATATTTGATTTCAATATCTCATGGCACATGTGAACTTTAAGATACAATGCACACTTGAAACTTTTGATCCAGGTAGTACAATATGAAGCTACATGTATATATTAGACATGCTTTCATTTCAGTTACTGTTCATTTTCTTTTGAGATATGATGCAACCTTTGATCTCAAACAGTCATGTAATGTAAATAAATCATAGGGCATTGATTTTAAGGATTAACGTTACAATAAAAAAGTTTATGGTATCTTTGAATATGTTCTGTTTGTAATACAAGGAGATATATCTCCCAAGTACCAAAGGTTTATCAATGTATTAGTTCCGATAGGAAGTCATTTAGTTCTTGTGTACACATACTTTGAACAAACAACCAGATGAACTGTGTACATCAACCTGCAATTTAAGAAAATCTTTTTTTTTTTTTATTGATGTGCAATTTCCTTTTTTTTTTCTTTCTTCTTTTGATTTTGTAACAATATGTGATCTTGAATTTATAAACCAAAAGATTATGGTACTTTTGATTGCGTTCTTTTATTTCTAGTCTTTTCTTATATTTTAATATAAAGATTTCTTCCTCCGCCCTAAGTTCTCAAAAAGCTCTTACACCAGAAATAGCCTCAATGATAAACATATAATTCATGGCACTTATAAAAGTTCACTCAAGCATCATTAAAACCTCACCCTCCCACACAATGGCTGAAGAATAAGTGCATCTTTAAGTGTTTTGGGGTGTTTTTTCCTTCTTCTTCTTCCTCTAGACATGAATTGTGTGGGCTGGGTCGTGTTTACAAACACCCAATGGTCGTTGCATGTCCTCCATATTTAAGCCATTTTAATTCAAGTCCATGATCTAGGCTAGGCTAGTATGCCACATTCACAAAAAAAGAAGGATCTATTTATGTCCAACTAAAATTTGGTAGGGGTTTTAAGGGACTTTTCCTGGAATGTTTGATTGATAATGCCCCATTAGGAAGCAAAGATTGTTAATTGAACTGCTCTTCTTAAATGTCATGTGCCAGTGTCGCCAACAATAATTGCAGTAGTTCCCTCACTTTAGCCTCTCCTTCTACATGTATTCATCCTTTGTCTTTAAATATATATTTCTATCTCTCTTTCTTTTACTCTATTCTTCTCTTTTTATGTATGTATGGTTCTGTCTGTCTTTCTCTCTCTGCATGTCTCTGTCTCTGTCTCTACTTCTTTTTCAATTCCACCCTCTATCTGTTCTCTCCCTCTCTCTCTCTCTTCTTTCTCTTTCAATTCCACCGTCTCTGTCTCTGTGTCTCTTTCTCTTTCAATTCCACCGTCTCTCTCTCTCTCTCTTTCTCTTTCAATTCCACCCTCTTTCCTTCTCTCTCTCTTGCTCATCTCTGTTATTCATCACTCGTACCGTTTCTTTCGTTCGTTCCCCAGGATGACCTGCCCAGAGTTAAGACAGAAATCAAAGCCATGAAGGAGCTAGTTCATCAGCATATCTGTACACTCTATGAGGTTGTAGAAACAAAGAACAAGATCTTCATGGTCATAGAGGTAAGTGCTTCTTCAACTTTTTACTTTTTCATTACATTTGGACCTTTTTATAGTTTCCATCTTTTTAGAAGTTTTTTGATCTTGCCTTAAGCATTGTTTGGGCTATTTTGTTGTTGATAAATGCAGGCATGCAGAAAGTACATATACCTTTCACTCCTTTTATCAACAGTTTTCTTGCTCGATATTCTCCCCTCCCCCCCCCCCCCCCCTCTCCTTTCTCTCGCTCATATCCTGTCTCAATATCTCTACTGATCTTCCATGACGTCACATTGCAGTGCTCAAATTCCTGTTACTATTTATTGTTGTTATCTTTTTATCTTTTTATGTTATTTCAAGGCACTTTCTAGTTCTCCACCCATCTCCTATCTCTTATTATCTTCAGTTTCGTGCATGTGTTTGTCACTCTCTACTTCCCCCTTTTTAATATCGTTCTTTAAATTCATATTTTATTTTAAGATTCAAGACGTAAGATTCCAGGGAAACCAATATTCTATATTGATGTGTTTTTATCAAAATTCATGGAAAATTGCATTACACAGGTTTTAGATGCAGGTGTTCAAGGGTGCAATTCCCCTTGGGCGTTCTCTATCGAAGTAGATTGATTAAATTGGCTTATTTTCTGGTTTATATTCTGCCCTATCTCGTGATGTAGGGTAAGTTTTCGGTATTTCTTGTACGTTCAAACTCCTCCCCTCGTTTTCAGATTGTTGGCAGATAGCAAGTGTTTGGGATGATTTTGACCGTTTTGGGGGAGGAATTCCTGTATTGGAGGATGTAGTGGTCGTCATGGTGACATGAGCCAAGATTGTTTGTCGGCAGGATATGAGGAGGGTTGATATTTCAAAATTCCAGCTGAGCTTCAGAGAAACACGTTGAATTACACAGAGGGGGCAGGAATATGTGGGTCACTTTAGTGTAGTTTTAAAAAACAAACAAACTTGGATAACCACTTTTAACGTCATTCAAAATTCAATTAATATTTGACCTGTGCTACTTCTAAAGGTCTCACTCAAATTGATTTTGGTATTATTTTATTTGTAAAGAATTGGAAGTAATTCCTGAAATAGTAAAAGTTTTACCCTGTGTTTATAATTTGTCCTTTTGTATTTCCCAAAACGATATCACATGATATATGTGTTAACTTTCAGAATAGTGTTAGCCGTTCATAGTTTTTGTCATAATATAATATCTTATTTAGTTTATCTTTACATTTTTTCTGGCAATCATTATGTAATAATTGTTTTACAGTATTTCATGTGCTTTCAATTAACTCAATAAAATTTCCAATAAAATTTCCAATAAACCATTTAATTCAATTAAAAAACATTATCTTGTTTATACCAACAATAATTTACTTGAAACTATAACAAAAAATCATCAGATTCTATTTTTGTTCATTCATGTACCCTTCCAGCATTTAAACAAAAATAAAAATTCAACTCTTCATAATCACCAGTCATCTTTTCATATTACAGATTGAATTCAGTAATCTTGAATATGGTATTTGTTCTGCCAGACAAGCCCCACACAATCAAATCAGTGTGGGTTTCCCAGGGTGATGCTGACTTATTTTACGCAAGAAAGCTTCGTTTCTTCCACCTCAAACAATCCAAATTGATTTTTCTTGGAACAAAATGAGTCTAGCAATCATTGGATCAAAGTGATTATCTTCTCTAGCTATGGGTTTGTTTTGAAGGATTTTTTTCCTCCGTCCTTTTCAAAGAGATTTGACATTCTGAGGCCTCAGCGGAGATCTACCTTTGAACTGTGTGTGGGTGGAGAGGAAGAGAGGGAGAGAGAAAATGCACTTTAGGAATTACTGAAGTGTCGCCTACTTCATTGGTTTTCAGCAGTATTCTATTCACGGAGAAGTGGCAAACTTTTCTGACTATTAATGAAATCACTGCTTCTTCGTCTGCACGTAGTCTTGCTCTGTATCTAGGTCTCTGTTTCTTACTCTCTTTTTCTTCATACCTTCTCTCTCTCTCTCTCTTTCTTCCTCTCTCTTTCTCTCTTCTTCCTCATACCTTCTCTCTCTCTCTCTCTCTCTCTTCTCTTCTCTTCTCAGTTCTCTTTCCTTTTCTTCACCCCATCTCTCTTTTTGTCTCCTAAAGTTAATCAATTATCACACAATACATTACTTTTGTTTTTGACTCTCCCTCTCCTACCTCTGTTTCCCTCTTTCCCCATCTCTGTCTCCTTCTCCCCCTTTCCTTCCCCTCTACCCCTCCCCCCCCCCTCTCTCTCTCTCTCTCTCTCTCTCTCTCTTTCCTCTCTCTCTCTCTCTCTCGGTTCTCTTTCCTTTTCTTCACCCCATCTCTCTTCTCGTCTCTCCTCAAATTATTCAATTATAAAACAATACATTACTTATCCTCAGATCTAACATAATGTTATATCAATATCAAACCCCCCCCCCTCTCTCTCTCTCTCTCTCTCTCTCTCTCTCTCTCTCTCTCTCTCTCTCTCAGTTCTCTTTCCTTTTCTTCACCCCATCTCTCTTCTCGTCTCTCCTCAAATTATTCAAACATCACACAATACATTACTTATCCTCAGATCTAACATATTGTTATATCAATATCAACCCTAACACTATCGCAATATTGTTGACAAAATGAAGCGCAATCAGGTGTTACCGTAGCAAATGTGGGATCGCTGTTTCTTTAAGAAATTGACCAGGCCCGGAGCTTAGACTATTGCTATCTCTGAATTGGAGCTATTATTATCATTACGATTGAAACACATGGTGGAGGTGATTAGTCCCACCCAGTAATGAAATGGCTCTGTTTATTTCTCCTATTCAGACGTCATGGGATCAGAATGCGTATGAACCATCTCTGTATCATCTCTCTCATGATTCCTTTTGATAATTCCTGGAAAAACATAGAGCCTGTCTATTATCTCAGCTCATCCTTGCCCTGTCATATCTTTTAAGATGCAAAGCCGCATGATATATTATGATTATATATGTAGTCACATGTTACAAAGAAAATTTAGCTCTTTCTCTTAATCTGATAAGAATGAAACGCTGGAAGCATGCAATAGAATTGATTTATCCTCTCTTAACTGATGTGGTTTGAATGAGATAGATTTATTGCTTACATATCTTTCAGGAAATTAATACTCACCTGGTTCCAAGTAGGGATATATCATCTCATCGTGCAGCTTTGCATCTTGGAATATATTTTGTCAGGGTTATGATGAGCAGAGATGAAGTATAGCTGTGCGTTTTAAGAAATTATGAAAGAGAAGACATTCAGATAAAAATTGCTTAGTATATGCATACTGTTGAAATATGAATCCAATTCATTGTATATTATGTTGACCATATATCTGTAATATATATATATATATATATATATATATATATATATATAAACAAGTCTGAACTTGATTGTGAACTATTGTGAGTCTGAAGGGAATCTGGGACCTGTTTCACAAAGCCTTTTTTCAATATGACAAAAATCAGTGACAAATTTGCTGATAACCAATCAGAAGCGAGGATTTTACTAGCTTATAACAAAAACTGTCATTTGTCAATGAGGACGAGTTTTGTGAAACGTGACCCTGGTATATACGTCATGAAGTTCTTTCATTTGAAATACAGACTTGATAACACAACTGGATGTGACAGTAATTATTATGTTTTTCAGTTTAAAGGTAATACAAAGTTTTGGTATGGGGTCATGAATTTGGTTCAAATGAGCATATTGGACGCATATGCGGTCCTACAATATTCAGTGATCGTTGTCGCGGTTGAAATCGAGTCTAAAGTTATGAAATTGTAAATGATAAACTATTTACGTTGTATAGCTCCCTCTCAAGGTCAAGATATAAATCAAAGTATACAAGAATATTCTTGACTAAAATCTACCGATTAGTTGTTCCTGTTCGGAAATTATATATCACAACTACATATTCTGAAATTTTCATGGTCGCAGCTACCATTGTACGGCCGTAGGCGCTATTTGAAATTTATCAAAATTTATCGGGAGCACCGGTAAATTCTTATATTCAATTTTTCTCGAAAGCAAAAGTACTTTAGGGGCTAAATTTTCTATTGCTTATAATACATCCACAGGGGCATCCAAATATATCAAAATTGTAAACAATCACTATCCACCCAATTTCCAAATTTTTCCAAAACTTTGTATTACCTTTAAGCTTCTGTCTATATTTTTCTATATTCATCTTTCGATGTGTCTATTGATCAATATTTTAATGTTTCCATCTGTCTATCTAGTCTATCTAGTTAGTAGTTAATGTATCTCTCTATGTCTCATATTGAACCTACCTAATCGGTTAATGTCTGTAAGATCAAACTCTAAATTGACACTTAAAATACAGCATCCCTTGAGTCTAGCCTCAACATTAAGCTTCATAATGGTACAGTGCCTAGCTCTGTCAGTTAGTCTAATGCCTCTGTAATCCAGACCCTTTGTTATGTCTTGTGATTAACATGGGTTTGTACCTGCAACACAGCTGCCAACCAATCCTATTTTTGGATAAATGGTTCCTAATTTTCTGCCGCAAGTTCAAACTAGTGGTACAAAAACCCTATTCCCCACATTTTCTGAAAAAAATATGCGTGAAAGCATAACAGAATGAGACTCTATTCCTAATTTTTGCTTTGTAAGGTTGGCAGGTATGCTGCAAACACTTTCCTGGGTAGACTCTAGCTACGCTGTTGAGCATGGTATATATATCGTGTAATTACAAGACAACCTGCCCAAGGGATACCCCCGTGTGATGGATGACTTCAATTTCATGTGTACTTTTCTCGGCAGAAAATTGCATCGTTGACGCCGCTTGCTCCTGCTTAATTTGTTTCTCTGACTGGTCTTTCATCTCGTCCCTCTGAATTGCAAACAGGAGTAATTCACTTTCTGTCCATTAAATGCTGGCATGAATATTTCATTGCTCTGACAAAGCATAATGAGATGAAGTTATTGCAATCTAATTTACGGTCTTGTCGCTGGCTGGCTGTCATGGGTGTTTGCACGTGTTAGCTCTCATGACATTGTTCGTTGACGTTGTTCTGTGCAAGGTTATGGCAAGCAGAAAGAATTATACGATTCCAATTTATTCTTGTATAATTGATATGGCAGCAATAACCTAATTGTGTTTCAGAACCTGAAGTGTTTTTATTATGTCCAGTGGGGCGTTTCACAGAACTTGTCATCAGTGACAAATGACAGTTTTTGTTATAAGCTACTGAAATCCTTGCTTCTGATTGGTTATTGTCAGTTTTGTCACTGATTTGTGTCATTTGTCATTGAAAAAAGGCTTTGTGAAATACCCCCCAGGTCAATACTTCCTGGTTTGTATTAATAGTTCTCTTGTGTAATACTATGTAGGAGAGTGTGGGTGTTTATGATATTTGTTCAAACTCTTCATATCTAGGGAGGTGCATCTCAGAAAGATTTTTACAAACATGTACTTGAGATGGTTTGTGAGTACGATTGTGAAACAGGAAAGTGGGGGCGATTATTATATTATTCATACAGAGACGTCGTACTTGGGACGAGTTTGCAGATGTTTTAGTTTCTGATGTTCTCAGCGTATCTTGCATCCGTGTTATTGTTCCCAGAGAAGAACAAGGTCACTTTGTCGTTTTAGTTATCTGTTTTTATATCTCTTTATCAATCTATTTCATCTACGCATCTATCCAGCTTTTGCTATATTTTCTTATGGTATGCTGCTCTTCCTTTTTTCCCCATAGAACTATACCTTCAACTTTTTATTCATCTGTTTATCAGTCTCATTCATCTCTATTTCCATTCATTAATTTTGTCTTTGCTCCAGAATGTTGTCCCAGAGAAGAATAACTTGATATCGTCTCTGCATTCATCTCTTTATCATTTCATCAATCTTTTTCATCTATATTTGAATGAATCTAACTGTGTCTCTGTTTAATGATCGTTCTTTCTTTTTTCTCTTTCCAGTTCTGTCCTGGTGGAGAGCTCTTTGATTACATTGTGGCTAAGGATCGTCTCAAGGAGGCTGAAGCCAGAGGATTCTTCCGTCAAATCATCGCAGCTGTGGCCTTCATCCACAACGAAGGGTACGCACACAGGGACTTAAAACCGGTAAGCATTCATACGAGGGTACCCAAGGGGTACACATATGGGGATTTAAACTGATAGGCATTTGTACATGTATATAATAATAATAATAATAATAATAATAATAATAATAATAATCTTTTAGTCCACTCCAAATTTTATTAAACCGAAAGCTATATGGGGTGCACAGAGGGTGCAAAAAAGTATGTATAGAATGGGGCAGTAGGGGTACCTCAAACCAGTTAGCATTTATGGAAGGGTGCACAAATGGTACCTTAAACCAGCAAGCTATATTGGAAGGGTGCACAAATGCTACCTTGAACCAGCAAGCTATATTGGAAGGATGCACAAAAGGTACCTTAAACCAGTAAGCTTGTTGGAAGGGTGCACAAAAGGTACCTCAAACCAGCAAGCTATACCGGTATTGGAAGGGTGCACAAAAGATACCTCAATCCAGCAAGCTATATTGGAAGGGTGTACAAAAGGTACCTCAAACCAGCTAGCTATATTGGAAGGGTATACAAAAGGTACCTCAAACCAGCAAGCTATATTGGAAGGGTGCACAAATGGTACCTTAAACCAGCAAGCTATATTGGAAGGGTGCACAAATACTACCTTGAACCAGCAAGCTATATTAGAAGGATGCACAAAAGGTACCTTAAACCAGTAAGCTTGTTGGAAGGGTGCACAATAACAGAGGCTCTTTTCTCCATTTAGCATTTGTAATTCAATGAAAAAACTTAAGGATAAGATATATCTGTGGTAGAGAATGCTCAAAGGAATAGCCCTTGTGCAATCAGACAAGGTGACCTTATGACATTTCTAGCATCGAGGAGGGAATGTCTAATCACACTTAGTAATCTCAAGGCACAGATTTCTTGTTTACATTCATCTGATGTAGGCTTAGTAGACTCGTTCTCTCAATGGGTTTAGGACAGTCTCTCTCTCTTCACGCGTAGAGCAGTCAAGTCTTGATCAAAGCTCTCAGATTATTTATAGAAGTGAAGACAAAAATATCTAGACTGGGCTTGAAGTTTACTTGTCTTTACCCCCAGAAACTTAAGAGAGATTCCCATTAAAAAAAAATTGGTCAGTTGGTGGAAATTTCTATTAAGAAATAAAACTCACTTCATAGCTATGTCTAGGTTCTCTGAAAAGTAACCCATGGAAATACAGAATGCCAGTGTTTCTGATTTGTGTCTGGGTTGTTGTTGTTGACATTTGTTGTTGTTATTTTTTTGTTTGCCTCATATTGTAGGCCTACACAATGTATAGGGCTCCAACTTTTAATACTTTTCTTTTTCTGGCTCATTGGATGAAATCAACTGAGTGGTATACTCTCTCTCCCAATATCTTCAATGAATTAGAATTCATTACATTTGTGCTGTTGCTCTCTAGAAACATCTCCGATATATTTTCCCTAAGTGCTCATTTTATGATTAGCTAATGAATATGACAATTATGCGCAGTGAAGCGAAAATCTGATAATTTATGCGAAGTACTAGCTTCATTGTATGGAGAGCACCATAGTAATTAGACGGCGAAAAGGTGCGTTTTATTATCGGCTGCTAATTGAGGCTGTTAAGGAATGATTTATGAGTCTCCTCGGGATGCTGTAAATGTCATCATAACCATTTTTACAAATTATGCCCTGATATAGAAGTGAACACTGAGAAGGAAATTAGAAAGAGAAAAGCTCAAATTCTTCTGTATTTAAACCAGTGTCACCTGCTTGGCTTACCAGCTTACAAAAGAAGATTATGATGAATGATAGGTGCACATAAAAATGAAAAGCAAAAAAATATATAAAAATATTCTAATACAGGTAGGAAGGACCTGGTCTGTATAAACCTGTGATAGCAAAGAAACAAAAGGCAAAATTACTCATAAAAAGTACTGAATCATGTAAAGGGTCCTCTTACAAAATGATGAAGTGCTGTATGTATTCAGTATTAAAGCAGAGGTCAAATTAGAAGTATGTACATAGTGTGAGATCAAATAGAGGAGATGTACATGTAAAAAAGATACTTCTTTCTTTACTACTATGATTATACTACAACCCCCTTCCACCCCCTCTCTCTCTCTCTTTCTCTCTCTCTCTCTCTCTCTCTCTCTCTCTCTCTCTCTCTCTCTCTCTTCTCTCTCTCTCTCTCTCTCTCTCTCTCTCTCTCGCTCTCTCTCTCTCTGAAAGTGGTATGCAGAAGGAAGCTAGTTGATGGATGCCTGTAGATATTCTTCCCAACATAGATCCACTTAACACACTTATTATACCAGATGGTATATCTAGTCATCTACTGCATGTCCCTTGTGGTCTTCTAAAGTACGTTTTGCAATCACGGACGTCTGGAAGGGGGGGGGGGGGGGCTTTTTTTTCTGTATCCAAGCTTTTCATTTGTGTGACAGAGAGAGAAAGTATGTGTGTGTGTGAGAGAGAGAAAAAGAGAGAGACAGAGAGAGCAAGAAAGAAGTATTCTTATTTATTTTTAAATAAAAGTTCTCACAAAGCTAAGACCTTTTTTTGTTTAGTTCAAGCTGTTCTCACTCTTGAGGCAGAGAGCTACGTTCTTCATATGTGAAAAGAAATCCCTCAAACAGCAAACTGACAAAAAGATGTTATACCTTCACTTTTCTTTATTGATTAGATTTTGTCAGATTTTTATATTTTGTGAACCTTATCAAGATTTAAGAGAACTTTTCTATGCCTCAGAACTTGTTGATCTCTATTTCTATCTCTCAGCAGCTCAGGTAGTATCCGTTTCCTACATGTATGATATCTTATTGGGAGTTCTAAGAATTGATATCTTTCAATGACTTAAGGCAGTCAATCTTGAGCATTAATATCAATTTGATAAAAGTTCTAAGTCTTAAACAGAATTGAAATGAAAAATACTGAAAGTGCTCTACCTTTTAATACCCTTTCACACTGGTGAGACCAATATGAGAATGACAATGGAGTAAACATGAAATGTGAACAGAGTCGCTATGAAAAATACCGAAAGTGCTGTAACTTATACAGGGCTCGACGCAGATGGGCGCACATGACATATGGGTGCCCCAAATCTCTGTCTGAACCCCCAAAATGTTTGCACTGGGCTCATGCATACAAACTTTAAATCTGTACCCCCTTCCAAAAAAGTTAGTGTGGAGTTCTTATGATACCCCATTCATACTGACAAGATTAAAACATTACATTACTTAGAATGGCCAAGCTTTAGTTGGTTATCAGTTCGTGTGGAGTCGCTTTGGCGGTGTGACTAGGATAAAACTCTTGAGGAGGAAACCGGACACTGTTTCTCGAAGATGATTTCAATTCCAGATCTATTCTAATCTTATTTCTCACATCCTAATAGCATCCCTGGGCATCTCTTCTCAGAACTGATAGGGAAACGGTATTATGATCAACCATCTGCCTCGGAGCTCCAATTGTCTTACTCTACTCAGGAAAGAGAAATTAATACCCGCCTCTAAGATGGAATTGTTTTTCCTGTTTCTGTGAATGTTGAAGTAATTTTATTCATTTGTTCCTATTTTATGTTCTTCGATATATCTTTGTTATAAAGCAAGCAGCACTATCTCTCCCCCTATCATCTTCGTTCATGTACATCACAATCTCCTCCCACCATTAGAAACAATTTATTGCTGTTGTTGTAATTGTCTATTTCTTTAAATTGAATGTTCCTTATTTTCCAATCTATTACACTTCGTATTACTCTCTCCTTTTATGCAAAATTATTGAATTTTTTTCTTCTTCTCTCTTTCTTTTCTTGATTACAGGAAAATCTACTATTAGATGAAGATCAGAGCTTAAAATTGATTGACTTTGGCCTGGCTGCTAAACCAAAGGTGAGTTATAGATCATTGATGATTATGAAATTTGCCATATTATGTGTCTCCCTCCTCTCCCTGCCTCCTTCCTTGCCTCTGTCCTCACCTCCCTTCCTCCCTCTCCACCCATCACTACTCTACCTCCTCTCCCTTTTCTTCTTCCCTCCTTTCCTCTCTCCCTTCCTCTTTCCCTCCCTCCCTCTTTCCTCCCATCCCTCCTTCCTCCCTCCTTCCTCCCATCCCTCCCCCCCCCCCCCCCCCCGCCTCTCTCCCATTGTTTATTCTTTCTCTCACACCACTCTTTTCCCCCGATATGGATGTTAAATGCATAAGTAGAATGATGTGAGAGGAATAAATGACAGGCTCAGACGGACATGAAATATTCATCCACATTGTCTGTCTCTCATGCTTTCAGACAAAAATACTTACAAAAACACTTCCTTAGTCATTATACAAGTCTCCCAACTCTTCTCCTTAAAAAGAGAGAAATCTCTCTCTCTCTTTGCCTCTCCCTTTCTCTTTCCCTTTCTCCCTCTCCAGAGTACTTCTCTTACTGTTTTTCTTTCTTTTTCTGAAATCTATGCCCCTTATTTTACATTAGAATGATTGAATGAATGAGATCGAAGAACAACATAATGCTCTGCATACTTTCCTTATAAACACAAATTCTTGCTTGTTTGGTAAAGAAAAATAATTGATATCCCTTTTACTACAGTCTTTAAGATACAGAAAATTTTACTTTATTACAGCAGCTATTTGTTACATTTCTCGAAATATGTTTTAGTATAAAGAAAAGTTATCATGGACTAACTCGCTAGTGCCTTCACCTTGTACGATGTGAAGTGTTGCATTTAATGGAAATTGTGTAAAATTGCTGACCAGTTTTATGATCCTGAATTATTCAGAATTTCCTTATCGTGCACTTTAAAAAAATAATCAAAGGCAGTCGTTGTAACTATGGTAACACACACAAATCGTGCAGGAGCATGGAGAAAGGTTCCTAGATACTTTTCTTCCGCTGAGAGGCAGAAAGTCGTTATCCTGTATTCTTTAAAGATGATTTGTCCATTTTACAGACCTAATAACCTGAAGTTCCATGAATCCAGTGGTATATTGAAAAGGTCTGTTATTAGGAACCTCCCACCAAATGAGAACCAAAAAATGGAAACTGACTTCCAACAAATAAATTTTGATTTGCTAAATTCCAGATATCTAATTTCTTGACTCCAAAATATTTGTACCTAATTCAAATTAAATTGACTGTTATATCAGTTGATTTGAAGAAAGAGAGCTCCCTCTGTAGAATATGAAAACAATGCTAAATTTTCATTTCTTACAAAGAAGTTTAAGAACCTATGGTTGTAAATTTCGCACATGATATTTGAAGGATATGTTTTATACACTCGCCAAGTTTGATGGAGTTTGCACAAGTCTGCGAAAAGGACTTACTGCCTTCTGTCTCTCATCAGATGCCTTATACTGTAGTCTAGAGAATTCATGTAGGTTTGAAACGGCCATTTGTTATGAACAATTGGGATAATTAAAGAGTTATTTGAACTACACATGTATTATACCTTTCTGTTTTTCATTCCTTATATTCTCACAAAGCCGGCAGTATTCCTTACTTCCTCTTATGTGTGAATACAAAATGATTTATTTCACCTTTATCAAGAATATCATTGTTATATATGAAATATAACATAAAATGTTGACATTTAATATTAAATATACAGAAAGAATATGTATGATAAACACGCCTTGCTATTCATAAAGCAGATTGTGTAGTATTATTGTACTTTGCAGAGCGATTCTCCCTGAATTCAGTATGGAAACTAGTTGATTTCCTTTTCTTTTTTTTTCAAGATATGTCTAGCATAGGATTGAGTCCAAGTTGTATTCTGTCCAACTATTGCTTTCCTGTGATTTCTTTCTTTTTGTGATACTAAGATAATATCATAAATGCAACTAGCCTGGGCATGAGTCCAGCTCACATCTTGCCAATCTTTTCTGAGAACCGTTAAAAGATAAAAACCATCGGTCACCGTGAGTGACCTCCTCTGGAATCAATTACCGACTCCTCACTTCCAGAGCGCTTCCAGAGCAAGTGCCAAAAATTTATCCCAAATGCCCAAGAGCATCGGGTATCCGTTACGGTCGAGAGTAACCTGAGCTGAAAAACAAGGAGCACAACTCCAAGATGTGTAAATGGCAAAGGCTGATGTCTTGAGTAACCGCAAACCAAATTCAAGGCACGTTGTCATCTAGATTTTAACCTAATATAACCAGATAATATTCGCAACTATAAACGTAAAAGTACACCTGAGATATTTCAGGGGGTGGTGTCAGGGGGTGGTGGTAGTAATGGAGTCTCTGCGGTACCCATCTTCCAAGAACATTCACAGACAGTTACTCCCACCACATCTGCTCCAGGCTTTTGTAACGTCAAAGATAGGATCATAGGGGTTAAGCTGGGGCTGTGGAGGATATTAGGTTTAGGGTTAGGTATGATGTTTAGTCCAGCTATTATTAACCCATCGCATATGGGAACCGACCAGCCCCTGTATTAAGCCTATGGTAATGAATGGATTTAGTTGTCAATGGGTTAAATTAAACACACATGTATAAGGCCAGGAGATGGAGGATTGGTCCTTTTGATGATCTTTTGTAAAGAAGACGTAAATACAATGTCAGCTTCATATTTGCCCTATTTAGTTTTGTGTTAACATAATATATGAGTTACAGATGCCCTTCTCGCTCCCAGCAGATACACCTTCAGTTTAATAAATTGTAATGAACTATTCATAGGGAGGGGAAAAAATTCTATATCCTCTCTTAATTTACATATGCAACATTGTTTTCCTCGTACATGAAATGCAAGTGAAATTCTATGTTTACAGTTTAACCTTATATAACACTCAGTAAATAATTTTGATAAATCTGAGATTGTAATAGAGGGCCTCCTTATACAACACCCCTCCCCCTCCCTGGTAAAGAATATTGTCTGAAGGTCTTCCCCATACTTTATGGTATACAGTGCTAAGTGGATGAGATCATTCCATTTCTCTAAGTGATACGAGCTTGATATATTGGAGCAGAGGTTGGCACTAAAGAGCTTGTTGTTACAAGTTCCCGTATTTTCCCCCTCCTTTGGCAGTTTTGAAATGTCACCCAAGTCTTGGTGTTTATTCTTAAAACGAGGGCAGTAATTATGTTTACAATGATTTGTGTGAGGCAAAGTAACTTGGTCTTCTAAAGATTCTCTCTCTCTTTCTGCCTCTGTCTATCTGTCTGTCTCTCTCTCTCTCTCTCCATCTCTCTTTCTCTCTCTTTCTCTCTTTCTCTCTCTCTCTCTCTTTATCACTATCTGTCTCTCTCTGCCTCTCTATCTCTCTTCCTTTGGGGTTCTGAGATTGACCAGAGTTTGTGTGATGGATTTAATCAATTAAGAACTCTGTTTTTCTAGAAACTAGAAAGCTATTTTCCACTGATCAATCAATCAATCGATCGAGAGCTACATTACTGTGTAAGTGCTATCAAGAATAGAATATACATGTATGTATCTTCTGTGGGTTATAATACATGGGGGTCCAAACTTTTGAATAGGACCATCATTTCTTTTAAGTTTGACCTTTTCTTGTTAATGAAATATATTTCTTCCAGTTTAACGTATTTTTTCGGTCATTTTATGACCTTTTTGATGTACCTGTAACTGAATTTATGTACATGATATAAAAAATTGTCTTTAATATCAGAAGCCTTACGGCCAAGGGTAACACTATGATTCTATTAGGAGAGATAATTGTGGGGGCGTTTTCTTAACGTTAGTAATGACTGCCACCCCTCGGAGCACATCTGCGCTCAATTATGGGTGAAGCGTGGGCCATTTTAAGAAAGGGCTGTCCTCACTGCCACCTCCTCACAAATTCAGACATCATTTCCAGCTCTCCATTTACAATCTTGATGTTGTTGCATACTCTCTTGATATATTAGGGTTCCCAGCTCTCCAGAAAATCAGGAAAAACCTGGGCCCTGTTTCATTAAACAAATGCTAAGTTTCAATGACAAATCTGCTCTCAGCCAATCTACAGTTATTGTAACTTGTTATCAATAACAAGTTTTGTGAAACGGGGCCCTGGAAAAAAGTTTATTTTTCAAATTTTTTTTTCCATTCAGGATAATGTTAGGGAATTCAAGAGAAATCACTCAACTCAAGGAATACAAAAACAACATTAAATTTACAAAGAATGGTAGGAACTGTATGGACTGAATGCATGCCAAAAGAGGCTCCACACCACTCAGTGATACAAGATACCCTGTCCATGAGAACACCACCTTTGCGTGCCCATGCACTTCCCTGCATGAAGTCATCTGTAGGACTACTCAGTCGTGCCACTCCATATTGTGTCTTTTACAGTAACATTGACTGCATTCTTCGGATGCTCTTCTCTCTCTCCCTCGCTCTCTATTTCTCTCTCTCTCTCTCTCTCTCTCTCTCTCTCCCTCCTCTCTCTCTCACTCTCTCTCTATCTCTCTCTCTCTCTCTCTCTCTCTCTCTCTCTCTCTCTCTCTCTCGCTGGTCTGATGTAAACACTTGAAGCTTTGCCCTCATCTCCCGCTTTCCAGCCAATGAATTTTCCTTGAGTTTGTGGTTCTCGGGTAACTTAATGCAGCCTGCCCTTCTGATAGATGGCCGCTAAACGTGCCATGACATCTCTGTAGGGAGAAAAGAGGCAAAGGGGAGATATAACCCATTACCCCCTGGTACTATAAGTGATCCCTGTTACAGCCTATGGAATGAGACAATTCAGTAGTCATCAGGTTAAGATTTACCACTGTTTGTGAAGAAAGACATCAGACAAGTTCCTCAGATACTGTTCTGAGTGTTTGAAACTTTAGACCATTTCTGAAGTGGTTTAGATTTTTTCTCCAAAACGACATAAAGCGACATATTTTCCAAAGCAACATCTTAAGATGTGATAGAATCACAACATTTGGTTTCTCATTTCATGTCAATTTCTAGTTTAACAGTAAACTGTTTAATCAAACATCCCAAATCAACATTATACAAAGCAGAGCACAAGACTAACACATGGGCGCCCAGAATCCGAGTGCGGATAGTAGGTTTTATGCAACAGGGTCCTGGACTTAACTTTTTACAGTCTATGCATGAGCCCTATGTAATAAAACTTCACAGTTTACCCTGTATAATAAAGAGTACCTTTGAATTCTCAAGAATAGTTTTGATGTTTATCTCTTCCGAACACCCACAACAAAGAAAGTGTAATGCAAGGAAAAATGAATTGATGGTGTGTAAAATTGTTTCATTGTGTGTATTATTCAGAGGTCAGAGTTGTGTCTTAAGTTGCTTGCAGTTAATAAGGGTATATAGAATTTAATATATATAATTATATCAGTCTTTAGAATCTCAGTTAAGCAAGGATACGAAATCCTTGACCGGAATCGGCATCGAGCTCTACCATCTCAATTCGGTCTAAGAAAATTATATATATATATGATTCAGTGAGCCATAGGAGTGGACTCTCTTTAACAATCCTTTTGTATTAAGAGGCACAGTTAAGGAAATTAATGCATGAAAGAGAATAATGCATTTTAATTCAATATTTTTGTTAATCCAACGACTTCAAAGAAAGATCTGACAGTTAAAAGTGTTAAGGGTCAGAGAAAAATGTTTTTCATATTGACAACCTGACTTCAAGAAAAGTATGTTTTCGTTTTCATATGTCTGATTAAATTTGAGATTAGGGCAGTCATTACTGCCATCAGCATCTAAGTGGTATAAAGAGACAAGACTTGAAGAGAATGAATTAGTCATCATTTAATTGTGTGTTGTTGACTGCCTTGTTAAGTGTCCTTTCAAGGAAAAGCTATCGTGTGACAGACAATCGGGACAATCTTTGGTGCTGAGTTACACAGTGAAATCCTAGAACTGCTTGAAGTCTAATAGGATCATATTGAATTGACAATCATGAGGGCAGCCTCGGACTGAACTCAGAACAACCCCTGGATGATAAGTGGGCCAGCCTCTTAGTAACTTCTTGGAAGACCTTTCTGGACTGGTAATTTTCCTATGAAAATGCAGAACGGTGTTAGAAACAGTTTGACTGGAGACATGACAAGAAATCTAACGAGAGACGATAGAATTGTCTTTGAAAAGTATGCATCCATCTGCATCTAATTGAATATCATGTTTCTAGGCAGACTATTGGGCTATACTGTCAACATGAACAATTGTACAAGATGAATCTAGTCATGCTCTAGGCCCCAAGATTGTTAACATTAATGGGCTGCAGTGTTAGTAATTACCCAACCTTCCCCTTGCACCCCAGGGAGATGTTCCCATGGCACTCTCACATTGCGATGTGACTGTCAATGTGTTGTGCGCAACCCCTCTCAAGCTACACATGCCGTATGTACAGTATTTATATCTTGATACGTGCAAGAAATGGGATCGACCTTGTAGTGAGGATGGGTAATGCAAACAGAATTGCATTTGTTTTATTCCTCTACCACGGTTCATAACTCCCAATGTACCAAGTCCACATCTTCTTAAGATAACACATGACTGAATTCTCATCAAATTACTCCTTTCCAGTCAAGTTCTACACTGCAGCGTAATGAACGAATGGGCGCAACGCTAACTGATCCTTGAAGATACTCTTCAGACACCTCTTCTGTTCCAATCAATCTTCCTGCTCAATGAGGCTTGAATTACCAACGCACCCCTCAATACCTGAATACTTGAACTCATGCTTTTAATACGAGAGCAGTTAATTTGATTGCCTACTAGATCTGTATTGGAATTAAAACGACCTGCTGTAGACATTATTTAGTCTTGTGAATCAGACTTTATGTGAGTGGTGATCATCATCATGTCTTCTATCTTCTTCACCTCTTTGTTATCTTTTGAATTCTTATCTTCATTCCGCATAATTTTGTTTGTTCAACTTGTCCATCTTTATCAGCTCTTCAATGTTCATCTTGTCATAAATGAATCTCAGCTGTGTTGAGTAATCTTGTCTTGAAATGAGATTCGTTGAAGCACATCCTATGTTGTAGAAGCTATACTGGCTCCACATTCTCCATTTTGTTAGAAATGTAAAACCTGTACTCCACATGGCTTTATTTCTGAGTATTACAATTTGATATTACGGTCTAAAAAGTATCTTTATCCCTTACCTGTACCTAGACAAGCTGAATCTTGATGAACTTGATGAAATCTTGACTGGAATTATTTCCATCTATAGAAGTCCTTTAAATTTTCAATCATGCCAAGCGATAGATCAGTGCACCTGCTTGGGACCTGGCCTTCGTTATGAAAGAATTCCACCCCCATCTCGCCCCTCAATAAGCCCCTAGTCAGGTTGTGCTTGTCAGTTATAGGTGGGGATGAGGGAGGGGATCTACTCTCCAAAGAATTCACAGTTAACCGCATCTCCATATTGTCTTAGGGAGGTGGGCTGTAAGAATTCTTAGCGGCTATTTATCTGACCTTTTTTCAACACTATTTGCCTGTGTGTTGTTGTTACTGGATGGTTTTGTTTGTTTCTTTATTTTTGCCGATTGTTTTCATTCCATTGTCTTTTAATCATGTTGAAAGAAGTGTGCTAACAGTCCCCGCCCACCTTCCACCCACTTCTTTAGATGCTTCTCCTTTCCTTAATTTTCCTTGTTTTACTCTGATGGATGCATTCTATTTCACTTTTACATCTGTATCTCTCCATCCCATTTAATGATTAATTTGAGGTTTGTGTTTTCTGATCTTATTATTGTCATACTATTCAGACTTAGTTTCTTAACTACAGTGAGAGAAATTATTTCTATTAGGGCTCTTATGAGAGTATAACCACACCTCAATATGAATATCTCTTTTTTCTTTGTTTGTTTGTAGGGTGGTATGAAGGATCATTTAGAGACGTGTTGCGGGAGTCCAGCCTATGCAGCCCCTGAGCTGGTGTCTGGAAAGGAATACATCGGTTCGGAGGTCAGTATGGTGTCTTTAAAGGGGGAAATGGATGGTTTTAGCAGGAAAGTTGAACAGTGCTAGACCGATTCTAAAATACAGCAAAAAATGAATTGGAGAAGTCGCTAAATATATACATCATTCTAAATTTGAAGAGATTGAATTGTTTTCATTTGATATACATGTATCTTAATATTATCAGTTCACTTACACAGCTACATGTCTAATTTGAACAGAATTAGAGTTGTCCTTAAGTCATTTGCTTTTCTTTCTACAAATTATGCATTCATTGACTTTACAATATATACAATTATACAATCAGTCTGGTATATTGCAGTTCATTTTCAATGATAGCTCTCTGTGACTTTCTATGGAATGTTTGTTTTATGCATGTACTGATTTAAGAATGGTAGATTCTGTTAGAAGTTTACCATGATAGGATATGTGGAGAAAAGGATAAAGTGAATTGAAATCAATAAAGAAATAAATAATGAGTTTAATTGTTTTTCTTTGCAGGCCGATATATGGAGCATGGGTGTGTTACTCTATGCACTACTCTGCGGTTTTCTTCCATTCGATGATGACAATGTCTCCCTCCTCTACCGCAAAATCCTTTCTGGTGTCTATGAAGAACCTCCGTGGCTTTCAGTTGAAACCAAAGAACTCCTCAGACATATGCTACAGGTAAGTGGGATCCAGTTTGGTTGAATTAGAGGTAGTACAGTGAAACCTGTCTATAAAGACCACCCAAGGGAGACAAGAAAATTGGTCTTCATAGGTAGGTGGTCTGTATGTACCAGTTCCTTTAGTACATGTTTCAGTGAGAAACTATTTTAAAGGGAAACACAAAATGTGGTCTTTGTAGACAGGTGATCACTAAAGCAGGTTTGACTGAAGATGCAAGAAGGGTAATGGGAGCGGAGAATAATAAAACTCTGGAAAGATCAAAACAAACTCTGCAAAACACATACCGTTGCTTTAGGTGAAAAATAGAATGTATGAAATTTATTGATTTGTTGATTGTGGCAGAGAAATTTACTAAATTTTTTTTTTTTTGAAGAGCTGCTCGAAAAAAGAGAATAGGTACACTAGGCAATCATATTGTATAACCTTGTTGAAAAAAGTAAACAATTCTAAAAGCAATATAGGTATCAATCAGTTTTTCACATTGATATTTATTACATGAAATAAATAAATGAATAAATTAACATCAAATAAATTCAGGATTCTTTTTTCCCTTTTTTTTTCTTAGGTCAATCCAACAAAGAGAATAAAGATGAAAGAGCTGATTATCCATCCATGGGTCGTCCAAGCATTCGGTTCACCTGTAGACTGGGAGAGCAAATGTGAGGTAACTAAACGAGAGACAACATTCATTGCCAATTTAGAGATTTAGTGATTTGATAATGAGAAAGTAGTTGAATTAGAGATGAGCAGCCATTTTTTTTAGGGAGGGATAAAAATGTGTATATTTTTGTTAGTAAGGAAAAATCTTAAATCCTGTATAATGATGACAGAGTGCATGAATAGTTTTATTAAAAATATTAAACAATGATGTGTTGTACTAACCTACAAGAAAAGGTGGGGTTGTATCAAGAACATATTGCCAAAACAGCTGAAAAGATGTTTTATTCAATAATTTTTTATTGTGAAGACCCACAAAATGAGATTCATTTTCTGATGTGTTTTGTGTTTTCCATCGTTATTTATTACAGAAAAATCAGCTCAATTTGGACTGCATAACAGAAATGGCAATGCATTATGGGAAGTCGAAGAAGGACATAACTTCAACATTAAAACAGGTGAGATAATCATTTAACCCTTAAACCCTTCTCTGTAATGAACAGATAAAAACACAATAAATATTTGTCTTCACACATTATTTCTACAAAAATCAAATACGTATCCATATCCAATGGATAAAGACATTTCTACCAGGAATAGATTGAAATAAGGATAATGGAATTTTTTTAATTTCATCAAAGAAAAATTAAGGAAAAGATCAGGGAATTTCATCATTATAATCGTTTAGCGTCCATTTTCCCCACGCTGTAGCATTTCATTTCCCGCTGGGGTGAGGCCGGATACGTGTTCTTCTAGTCTCTCTTTCAGGAAATTTGTTTTTATGAAAAACTGAGAACCTTGTTTGTATCAACCCTTACAAAATCACATTTGACCTTTGACCCTGTGACCTATTTTCTTTGTATTACAGTGGAAGTATGATCACATGACAGCCACATATTTCATCCTACTAGCAGCCAAATATCGAGGTAAAACGGTCAGACTACCCATGGCCAATAGACCACTCACAGAGAAGGTAAGAATGGTTCAACTTGTCATCATTTAGACACAGAATACTGAAATCAGACATTTGTCAAGATGTATGACTTGAGTAGCTTAGCTGAATGTGAAGTCATGTTCAGATATGAAGATTGTGGATAATCATTATTTCATTTCATTTCATAGGGCAAGAACGATACTCATTCACTCATTTCATTAGATGCTCATTTTCATCTTTTAGATGAAAAACATCCAGAAAAGTATTTCCCGAAAATGTTTGATTGACAAAGTTTTCTTCCTGACATCATTCTTGTGCAGAACCAAACCGACAGTGCAATGCGATTCCACCACCACCACCATCAACATCATAATCCTCACAACCACCATGATAACCTGGAGCCTCCTACCAGCTCACCATACATGTTCAGTTCAATGGAAGATGGTTTAGAAGATGAAGAATCCTACATCATCACGTCATCTCCTCACCGACGGACCGCTTCAGAGCGACGTCACTCAGGTGACCGTAGGAGACCACGCAGCTCTCAGAACCCTCGTGATCGACCGGTCAGTACCAATCTGGACGGGACGTACGTGAAGCCAGGAGACCTCCTCGGGGAGGACACGTACATGGTCCATACGCCGCTGGTATCGGGGAAAGAGAACCATAGAGACAATGAAGGGTTTGTGAAACCTGTTGGTTTACCCTTAAAGACTCCCGTTAGGAGACGCAGTAAGAGTGATGCCAAGGAGAAGGCATCGCAGAAAGCCAGAGGTGCCGCCTTGAAACAACCTGTGGTTCCAACGCTATCGCTACCTCCAGTGGTTACCCCCTCAAGGTCAATGGATGGTGACCTCAACAGGCTGTCCGTCAACTCTGCTCGTAGCACCGGTGCCTTCGATATCCAAAAGTGAGTGTCGTTACATGCTAGTTCTATGCCTCTATTGTTGATCTACATGACAGTTTCAGCGTATGTGGCTCAGATATCTGATATCTATGATCTGGGTCCCGTCTTACAAAGAGTTGTGACTGATCCAAATCAATCGCAAGTTTGCAGTCTCCTATCTCTTATGTACATAGTTGCAATTAATATCAATCCCAAAGAAGTTGCAATTGATATCAACTCTTTGTAAGACAGGGCCCTGCACTATAAACATAGAAAGTTTATTTTTTTGGATGTATATTGGAACTTATTCCTCAAAATTCATACCATCCAAGGCACTGTTTCACCAAACCGTCATATGTTCAAGTTCGCTGACATCTCATTGAAACAAATACATGAAGATTAACACATGTTTGAATTGGATGTCTGTGAACTTGTACTTGTGACGGTTTTGTGAAACAATACCCTGATAAACTTGTTCAGCAAAGTGACTTTTACGCTGGTCTCTGCCAATTTGTTAATTGCCCAGAAGTTGAAAGTTGACTGATGTTAATGTTGATTTAAACAGACCGTCTGAGCTTGCAACCTCTTTATTCAACTTAACACTGATTTTTTAGATTTTATAGAGCCATTTCATTCAAGGATTACATTCCATTTCTTTGTTTTTTTGTCTATAGTTAATTTTTTAATTCATGATTCTTTGTTTATTTCTTTGTAGAGCTGTTTCCATGGAGGATTCTTTAGACCGAGTGATGATGGAGGATGGGGACATAAAGAGACACGGTATAAGTGGTTCAGCTAAGAAGATCTTTGGTAGTTTTGAAAAGGGAATAGATAAGATGATAGACCTACTTTCACCAAGGAGAAGATCTACTGCTGGCATAGATGAACCAAGAAAAGTCAAGGTACCTATTCAACTTTTAAATTATTTAAAAATATATACATTATAATAAAGTGTTCAGACTGATGATTAGTTACTTGTGTCTCCATTTCAAATATGTTTTTATTTTCAAATGGACATAGACATCCAAATCATAAACTTGCTTTAATCTAACAATATTTTGTTTCATTATGGATATTTTTTTTTCTTTTTCTGTTATGGTTTTGCTTGATTGGTTTTATTTGTTTGATGTTTGTTTTACTTGTTATAACAGAAAATAAGAGACGGATGTTACAACCTTCCTTCTAATCATTGTTAAGCTTGTTTTCAATTTATGATATATAAACACAATTCTAATTGGGGGGGGGGGGGGGGGGGGGGGGGGGTCATTTCTATGACGTTTATTTACTTTATTATTCATGTTTAATCATATTCTGTTGTTTTTGTTGCTTTCAAGAGAAATGAGTTGAATTAAAGTTAACTATGTATACATTTTGTGTATATATTTTAAAATCTAACATTCAATCTAAGTTTTGGTTGCAATAAAGCAATAATAATAATGATAATAATCCGTCATCTTTTCTCTTCTCACTAGGCTCTGTACAATGTTTCAACGACCTCCACCCTTCCAGCCGATATAGTGGTAGAGAGATTAAAAGAAGGCCTCATGTATAGCGATATAGACTCCTATAAACAAAAAGGGTAAGTCCTGACAACTTAAGGAATATTAATTCATCAATTTATCTTGGGCTTGAGTCAATGGAAAACATATGTTATCCCTAGAGCAAGCTCTGTTGAGTGAATAAAGAGACTGCTGCAATAAATACAAGATCTTTATTTTGGTTTACTTTAAAAGGTTATGACACATTAAGTTGCTTACTATTTTACATGGTGTCATACATATCAAATTGTCTGTAGTAACACATTTTGTGGTATTGTGGTAGTTGAGTGGTTTAAGTACTTGACTTGAAATTCAAAGGTCATGGGTTCGATCCCCGACATGGCACTAATATCCTTCGGCAAGGCGTTAATCTACATTTGCCACTCAATACCCAAGAGAGAAATGAGGACCCGGTTTGATGACGAAAGCATTTGTGTTAGTAATTGCCTATGCCCTCATGGAGACCATATGTAGGAATACTCCCCAGGGAGTGGAGATGGTGTACATTGTGGGTGAATAATCGGAATCTGATGACCAGGGTAATAATATCTGTAAAGCGTTTAAAGACGGTATCACGTATTAAGCACTATATAAATCCAGATTATTATTATTAAACAAGGTAAAATCCCAAAGATAACATTAGTGAGATATTACCCAAGAACCTAGTACACTTTTACTACTTTGTGTGGTTTGTGGCTGCTGTGGAAGCTGTAGGGATGTTAGATACTAAAGAAGTGACTTTACCCAGTTCCTATATGAGTTCTGTCTATGTTCCTGGTTCATTCATACATACTTCCTCCTCCCCTGCTCTATCCAGACTGAAGAATTCATCTATAATGTATCTCCATCTTTTCCCGTCCTGTTCAGGTACACTCTGAGATGCAAGAAGCAAGATTCCAAGGGAAAGACAGTCCTCTCCTTTGACATGGAGGTCTGTAGATTGCCTCAGATGGAAATGGTTGGCATCAGAAGGAAACGTCTTAAGGGCGATACCTGGGAGTATAAACGCATGTGTCAAACCATCCTGGAACACTCTAGACTGTAGCGCCCTCTATAGATTGCCTCGGATGGAAATGGTTGGCATCAGAAGGAAACGTCTCAAGGGTGATACCTGGGAGTATAAACGCATGTGTCAAACCATCCTGGAACACTCTAGACTGTAGCGCCCTCTATAGGTTGCCTCAGATGGAAATGGTTAGCATCAGAAGGAAACGTCTCAAGGGGGATACCTGGGAATATAAACGCATGTGTCAAACCATCCTGGAACACTCTAGACTGTAGCGCCCTCTATAGGTTGCCTCAGATGGAAATGGTTGGCATCAGAAGAAAACGTCTCAAGGGTGATACCTGGGAGTATAAACGCATGTGTCAGACAATCCTGGAACACTCTAGACTCTAGTCTAGCGCCCTCTGGAGGCCGCCCTTCAAATCAAGAAGACCTGTGTTGTTCATTCATGGCCTATCACCACTAAACTAAGATTGCATCTCTTTGGCTTTTGTTTAAGAAAGACATGTTTCCAGAAAATAAATTCTTGGCACTTCATATGCCGATAGTTTGCAAACGGTTAATACTGACATACCGGTACACAATGTCTTATAAGAGTCAGAAGGAAAATTGTATATGAAGAGATATAAGTTTGGCTCTTAAACGACGGTGCAGAATTCATTTGACTGATTGTAGTCAGACCTGGTCCTGGTTTAATGGTGATAGGTCCTGATGGGTAGCTATTTTAATCATGACTGTCACATGTTATAAATCATTAAGTGCCAATGTCAGAAATTCTAGTTTGTAGTCGATGACATCTCACTGCAAATGATATATATTTCTGATGACGAACTTTGCTCTTTGCATCAGATATTCTTTGTTTTTATCTATTTTTATGGTGAGATTCTACGAAAGAGGGATGTTATGATCAGCTGCTAAGTGGCGAGGTTGTTTTTTTCCAAATTGGAAATGTGATGGAATCTGTGAAGAAGAGGTGTTGACTAGCGATGTCAATGAATTCTTGGAGAATGTGTTGTTATTTGAGTAAACCCCATCGGATGTTGAAATGGTTGCAAATAATACACCCCACCTACTTCTGCAACACTATCCTAGTTGATTATGCAAAACAGTATGTTTTTGGGGAGAAAAAAGGTTTTTTGATGGTGATCATGTGGTACATAATGTTGTTATAGAATTGAGGTACAGATAGGAATTCTTTAGCCTGTGAAAAGATAAATGGCCCCAATTGCTACAGACCGCAACATAAGAAAGAAGAACCACAAAAAGAGGAGACTTTTTCTCATTTAAGAAATAAACATTCTTCATGATGGTATTTTTGTATAAAACTTCCAAATGTGATATGTCCAGCATGTACAATGCACAATTTATAGTGTGATTCATATAGGGTTGGTATTGGCTATTAAAATGAGAATGATCTTGTTTTGTTTAGAGGGATATTTTCATTTTTTTAGAAAGACCAAAATGAATTAAATCATCAGTTTTATAATCATGAAGCTTTAGCTTTCAAAATGTATGGTTAGCTACGAGATCAACTTGCATTTTAAACAAATATTTTCATGAGAAAGATTTAACCTGGGAAATGCTATTGTTTATATATTAGTTGATATCAAGAGTATAACTATTGCTATGGAAACATACATGTAGATGGAATGTTTTGAGAAACACACCGTCTGAAAAAGCTGTTCTTATTTAAGCGCCCTGTATGGACTAAGGTGTGTGGAATAGGGTATCCTACTATTCATTTAAAACTTTGTTTGTAAAAACATGATAAACTATTGTGGGAGAAAAAGAAGAAATCATGTGAGAGAGAAAAAGAGATACAAAGAGACAGACAGACAGAAAGAGAATGATAGAGTATTAGGGGAGGGAGAGGTAGAGAGAGAGAGAGCAAGAAGATGAGAGAATCTTTGTAGTTGCAATAACTAAGCAGGCCTTTTATAATACACTGATTTCAGGAAGGCAATTTTTTTAATTTATCAAAGAACAGACATTTATATTTCAATTTAAATTATCATTTGATGAAATGTTTTTATCATGCTTGGGTGATTGTATGTATATTTGACCTTATTGGGTAGTTTTACTTCATTTGCATATACATTTGTGTACAGTTTTAATACTTGTAAATGTGATGATGATGATGATGATGATGATGATGATGATGTCAATAATGTTCTGTATTCAGAAACAGACATCTTGTTTTTTATATGAAGCAGGGGTGTGCAAAACAATTTTTAGAGGAGGAGGAGGAGGGAGAAGATTGTAAGAACAATTATTAATTTATTCTTCTTATTATGCGGCTGCAAGGGGACCAAGGCCCAAAGGTCTAGATTTATTTGTGGTGCAATGCCTAGAATTTAATCTGAACATGTTTGGGTTGCACTGAAAATTAGCACATACACACACCAGGGGGGCGTTTCACAAAACTTGTCATCAGTGACAAATGACATTTTTTGTTATAAGCTACTATAATCCTTGATTCTGAGTGGTTATCAGCAGATTTGTCACTGATTTTTGTCATTTGTCATTAAAAAAAGGCTTTGTGAAACGGGTCCCAGTATAGCACACACAGACTTACTAGAACACCTGACTATTAGTATCGTACACACTCCTCTCTTTCTCTACTAGGGCAAAAGCAATATTCTTCATTCAGTTGAAAATCAAACTTTATTTCTGTATTTTTCATCAGTATAAAGATTAAACAAACTGTAGTTGGTACATGCAAGTTTTTTTTAAATATATATATATATATATATATATATATATATGATTTTAATGTTCAATGTGTAGGTGATATTTGGTGAATACACACAAATTAATTTGATTGTTATCTATTTTAATCTGCATAATATTGAATCTTGACTCAAATATGATCAGATTTAAAGGCATGGGTCTGGCCAAACATAGGAGCACAGGAGCCAAAATGTGTATAATAACAACAGGAAATCAATTCAAAGTCTCTAGACGACCTTTCTTTTTTCTTTTTTGTATACTTTTTTATATAAGCATAATCATTTATGTATATGAAGCTTTTTACTGTTGATATTTTCCTTTTTACTCAAATCATTTTTTAAAGAAAGTAATAGTCTAATTCAGTTTGTAATTCATTCCAGTTCCAGTGAATTATTAAGAAACATTTGGGTCAGCATTCAATCTTCTTGAGGAAACGGAGATTTCATCCTGACTAGCCCTATTATGTGGATATTTGAAGATAAAAGTAACATTTTAACAATTTCAATATTTTTGTGAGCTGCTGCATTAAAGATCCAGATATTGCATCCCCCCCCCCCCATTTCGTCAAAAAAATAAAAGAATGATTATAATAGGTAATAACAATGATAATAATAAAGGGAAATCTTGTTTAGAGAGCTGTCAAGCCAAAAGTATTGCCATTTAGTGGATCT